CAGTGGAGGATGGCCCAAGTGCTTGGGCCCTGCACCTCATGAGAGACCAGGAGAAGTACCTGGCTCCTGCCATCGGATCAGCGCGGTGCGCCGGCCGCAGCGCGCCGGCTGCGGCGGGCATTGGAGGGTGAACCAATGGCAAAGGAAGACCTTTCTCTCTGTCTGTCTCTCTCTCACTGTCCACTTTGCCTGTCCAAAAAAAAAAAAAAAAATTTTTTTTTGGATTTTCTGAGGCTTTGAATGTAGGAATTTTTTGAGTTTTGCAAAGGAGCACACAGGTGAACAGGAGGATGACACTCAGCATGTATAAATTATTACTAAACTCAGGGAATTCTGTGGAGTCTGCCTCTTAAATGGTTTTTGATAACTTGGTGTTATAGTGCTTTCCTTTAGCTTAATGGTTCTACTATTTCTGGCCCCATTATGGATTTGTGTCACTCTGTGGTGATAGTATGTATCTTTGTATTGTTTTAATTTTTTTTAAAGGCAGAGAGGAGGCTCCCACCTGCTGGATCACTTCCCAGATTCCCTAACCAGGAACTCAGTCCACATCTCTCATGTGGCCTGCAGTTTCTCAGATACTTGAGCTATGACTGCTGCTTTCCAGGGTGTGCATTAGCAGGAAGCTGTAGTTTGGAGCTGGGTTTTGACCCAGGTACTCAAATATAGGATGTAGGCATTCTTTTTTTTTCTCTCTCTTTTTTAAAGATTTATTTTATTTATTTGAAAGGCATAATTAGAGAAATGGAGAGAGACATCTTTTATCCATCTGCTGGTTACTCCCCAGATGGCCGCAACAGCCAGGCCTATTGCAGGCCAGAGCCAGGAGCTGCTTCCAGGTCTCCCATATGTGTGTAAGGGCCGAAGCACTTGGACCACCTTCAACTGCTTTCCCAGGCCACTAGCACGGAGCTGGATTAGAAGTGGTGCAACCATGACCCGAACTGATGCCATATGGGATACCAGGTTGCCAGCAGTGGTTTTACCTGCTGTGCCACATTGCCAACCCAGGATGTAAACACCTACCCTGATATGTCTTAGTGGAGACTGATTGCTTATGTACCAGATTTAGATATAATTAAGATACGAAAAAGTTTTAGTAAGCATCTGCTATTTTCTAGGTTATATAATACATAAATGTATTTACATAACACTTAGGGTACTTCAGAAAGTTGTGGAAAATGCATATTATGAAAGCATTGTGCATGAATTTAAAACTTTTGCAGCAAAATAGATCTTAATTCCACTCCATAGAAATTTTGAAGTCCTTTCATACTTTACACAATAAATATTTTAAAACTTTGTTATGTAAATTGAATATTTTTTAATGTAAGCAGTTTAAATAAAACCTGTGGTGCTTTAGTCAGTTAACACTAACTTAACCAGTTTAGTAAGTATAATTGGACTTCTTCAGAATACATGGAGTGAGCATGCATATATGTACAAAATCTCTAAAACAGAAGTTTAGCTTTCTTTTGAAAACACCAAAACACTCTTTGTAAAATTTTTTTGCTGAAGTTTGTCATTCACTCTCAAATTTACATCTTTATGTTTGAGATATGGTATTGGAACTACCTATGCATGTAGCTTTTCCCAACTGCTACCTAATACCCTCAGTAAATCAGTTAACTTTTGAACAATATAACTATTTCTGTAAAATAATATGTTCATAAAAACAAATCCGTATATTCACCTTATATAGAAAATTAAGTCATGCTACTCTTACAAGAAATCTATTTTGTAAAAATGTAGTTTGTCTTTCAGAGTGTAATAAAGAGTGACAGAAGAAATGGTTGAGGCTGGCGCCATGGCTTACTAGGCTAATCCTCCACCTGTGGTGCTGGTACCGGGTTCTAGTCCCGGTTGCTCCTCTTCCAGTCTAGCTCTCTGCTGTGGCCTGGGAGTGCAGTGGAGGATGGCCCAAGTCCTTGGGCTCTGCACCCACATGGGAGACCAGGAGAAGCACCTGGCTCCTGGCTTTGGATCGGTGCAGTGCGCTGGCTGTAGTGGCCATTTGGGGGGTGAACCAATGGAAGGAAGATCTCTCTCTCTCTCTCTCTCTCTCTCTCTCTCTTTTTCCCTCTCCCTGTCTAACTCTGCCTGTCCAAAAAAGAAAAAAAAAAAAGTTGAATAGATTACATGGCATGGTTAGCATTTTTTTTAAATATTGATTACTTGAGGTGGTGGAAGGGAAGGGACAAGGCTGAGGTTAACAGGTTTTTAAACTTGCAGGTGGAGCTTGTCATATTTCTTTGACTTAGGTTCATTTAAGTGATAGGAAGAACACAATACATAACTGCCATACCTTTTTTCCATATTCCCTGTGCTAACTGAGCAGTAGCCAACACATAGAAGACTGTGGTGGCCCTTCCTTTACCAGTCAGACTTCTTGAAAACTTATCTTAGATGTTCATAAGGTTGACTTACACCACCACCACTGATACAGTAACTCTAAAATAATAATATTCCACCAGCACCTGAGTCTGTACACCCATATTGTAGTCATGATTATTTAGCACAGCAGGTTGAGATGTATTTGCAACTTTGGGACTGAAGTGGTTAAAGGTAATTTGGGAGGTTAATACCAGGCTGTGAAGAACTTTGTGTTCAGTTGCATGTCCTATCTCCCTTGACTATATGTTCTTCTGTCCGCTTGATTGTTTTTCAAATAAGCCTTTTATTTTCTTCCTTGAACACAGTTTGGGATCTCTTCATCACTACCACCCTTAATCCAACCCGAGTTTCCCCTCTGCCCTTAAAACATCCAGATATTTTTTCTCTGTTGACCACTTGGAGTATGGTGTGTTTTTTTTTGTTTTTGTTTTTTGTTTTTTGTTTGTAATACAACATAACCCCTGTATCTGTTGCAAAGTATATTATCCGTATCTTGTATTTCTATTTAAGGAACTTGGAAAAAGGAGTATCTTTTCAAAAGGCCGCTTTCTATTATGACCTCCTCTTCCCCTGAGATGCCCCTTCAACCCTTTGGCATGACGTCTCAGTTCTCACATGAAAAGCTACATGGTGATCCGTCTAAAATGGGAAAATGACTAGCCTTATCTTTGCCTGGAATCTCTCATTAGCTCCCTGTTCCCTAACACACACACACACACAGAGTTCCCAAACTTTGTTTCTAGATCCCAGTACAGGTAGTTGAGCTGTGGGGTAGAAGAGGGTGTGTAGAACTGTTAGGGGGTACTTGTTTAATTACAAAGTTTCAACCATTTCAAAGACTAGGCATGTGAAATTCTCAACTGCAGAAAGTAGCTGCTGCCTGAGAACAGTGTGTGTGTAACAAGTCATTACAGTGTGTGTCTTTTGTCCCTTTTATTCTCTTCAGAGACCTACCTTTAGTTGTATTAAGTGGAGGCATCTGAATATTATAAGCACTTTTTAAATTTTCTGTATAACTTCACAGACTTCATTGGCAAACACCAGGCATGTAATAATGAAATGTATTCGGAATATGGGAGTGTAGTGAGACTGTGGTATGAAGACCTTTCTGCCTCAGAATCCTGTGTTCTGGAAGACTTATTTTCCCTCGGAAACATTTTCTTCATCTCTGAAACTTCCGGATTCAAAACTAACATGTCAAACATATGAAATACCTGCTTGTCTCCTGATCGAATATTTCAGTTTCTAAAGACAGTCCGTGTTCCTGAGAGAGTTTCTTTGTCATTAGAAATAAATAAGGCCGGCGCCGCGGCTCACTAGGCTAATCCTCCGCCTAGCGGCGCCGGCACACCGGGTTCTAGTCCCGGTCGGGGCGCCGGCTTCTGTCCCGGTTGCCCCTCTTCCAGGCCAGCTCTCCGCTGTGGCCTGGGAGTGCAGTGGAGGATGGCCCAAGTCCTTGGGACCTGCACCCCATAGGAGACCAGGAGAAGCACCTGGCTCCTGCCATTGGATCAGCGCGGTGTGCCGGCCGCAGCGGGCATTGGAGGGTGAATCAACGGCAAAAGGAAGACCTCTCTCTCTCTCTCTCTCTCTCTCTCTCTCTCTCTCTCACTGTCCACTCTGCCTGTCAAAAACAAGGAAGGAAGGAAGGAAGGAAGGGAGGGAGGGAGAGAGGGAAGGAAGGAAGGAAGGAAGGAAGGAAGGAAGGAAGGAAGGAAGGAAGGAAGGAAGGAAGGAAGGAAGGAAGGAAAGGAAGGAAAGGAAGGAAAGGAAGGAAAGGAAGGAAAGGAAGGAAAGGAAGGAAGAAATAAGCTAATCCTGCTCGTCGTATCTGTGGCCAGACTGCCCGCCCATTACTAGGACACTAACTGCAGGTAGCTGGCCTGCATCAGCAGCCTGATGTGTACTACACAGGTGAAAAATCCTGCTGCCCCTTGCCCAGTGACCACTTACTGAAGACAGCTCGTAAAGGGTTTCAACACCTCCTTCTTCCATACCGTCACAGTTCTCCACATACCTGATTTACCCTTAACTACGCTTTCATCACCTGAAGGTGCCTGTCAGCCTGAGGTAGCCAGCTGGTTACATCAGCGCCTCATGAGGGTTACAGTACTTACTTTCTGGTAGATCCCGTTATGGTTTTTCGTGCTTTCACATGGGAACTCTAGGGACAACACTTGTGAAACCAGGAAGGACATAAACAATCAAGAACAATTAGGGTCAGTGTTTTGGCACGGTAAGTTAAGTGTCCCCTTGTGGTATCGGCATCCAATGTCAGCACCAGCTGCGGTCCCGCTGCTCCCCTTCAGTGCAGCTCCCTGCTAATGTGCCTAAGAAAGCGGCAGAAGATGGCCCAAGTACTTGGGCCCTGCCACCCATGTCAGGACCAGAACTGGCTTCAGCCTGGCCCAGACCTAGCTCCTACAGCCATTGTGTAGTGAACCAGTTTAGAATGTCTGTCTCTCTCCCTCTTAAATATTTTTTTTTAAAAAAGAGGGGTTGGGGTTAAAAACAATTGAGGAATCTGTGTAAGTAACATCAGAAAATGACTTGAATTTTAGTCATGACTTAATTAAAAAGAACTCAAATGTCTGAGGTCTTCAACAAATTGTTAAAATTTTCATATTTATTTCAAAATAGTTTAGCAAGATTTATAAGCCAACCTATTGGCAAAACAAAGCAATTGAAAAGTAGTGAATAAAGGATTATGGCACTTTAGACTTTAATCAGCCTTTCAATATATTTGCATAAACTAAAGATTTGGAAAGCAGTTGAGAAAAACTCTTAAAAATGTCTAGAATAACATTGCTCAGGGTGAGTATAAAACACTTCGTGGTCCCTTCAGCATCAACATGTCTCATGCTTCTTTGGTTGTCTCTTGAGTTCCCTCTTTACAGCACCTGATACGCAAAGTGACTTCACACCATGCCCAAGATCCGGGCAACCCACCAGCTGCATGGCATGACAACTCTGCAGGCCGAACGGCAACCTTGGTAATTGTAAGGCCATGGGTTGTAGCCCCCCAGGGGTTCACAGATCTTCTGGCAGTGGGTGTAGCTCCGCCTGCACTCTATACAGCAGATTCCTTCATGATCCAGTCTAGGGTCGAATGTCATGCTTTCCCCTTCCTGCTGCTGTGGAACAAAAGAGAATTGTTTGTGTTTTCTTCATATTGAGATGGTTACAGCTTGCACATGTTTCAAATTTCCTTAATTTTTGACTGCTATAAGAAATCAGGATAATCCTCCATTAGGAGTTTTCAGTCTTGTAAGTTGCCATCATTCAGAATTCCTTCTGACAACAAGGAACCTTAACTTATCTGTCATTAGCAGAAAAAAATATTTAACAAATCTTAAAATTTCTCCATGATTTTAAGGAGCCAGTTACCACTCAGTAATGACTACACTTGTATTAAATAGGAAAATTAAAAGTAAGCATTATGATTGAAATATTTCTGCCATTGTTAATTCTAAGTCAGTGGAACACTGGTGCTTTTTTGTAGTCATGGTTTCCAGGGCTCTTTGGGTACACATTTTGAAAGTCATCTATCCAGGCAAACCACAGGTTTTAATTCCAGTCGCACTGGCTCTGAGAACACTGTCAAGTCTTAGTTTGTCCTGCCTTCATTTCAGCAATGGAATTAGGCTGTTACTTGCATAGGCATAACGGGCCTGGATTATTGCGAAAAAAAGCTCCTTAAAAATAGATAAAAAAATCAAGAGCTTCAACCTCGTGCCATCATCATAGTGACATAAACATGAAGTCCTGTGAAGTAATGCTCTGTTCTCAAGCTGGAGAGGGCGTGAAACGAAGGAAGCCTGCCCAGCTGCACATCTGGGTTTCCTTGTAAGAATTTCTAGGGGTGGAGGGTCCCACGTAATAACCCATGCTTCGGTATTTAATGTGGTATTGAAGAACATTGCCAAGAAGAACTGTAATGCAAATTCTTGACAGTTTAAGCCTGCACAAAGCTGATTCTGGAATATTAAAAAAGTCTTCAATTTTTGGATAGAGGGGTTTATTAAAACTGTCAAAGAAACTGGAAAGTAGAAAAAATTATGTACAGCTAGGTTAGATGCTTGTTAGTCCATTGTCACATTTTTGTTTTCAGAAGTGAATTCAAAGAGAACTGAAGGGGGTGTGACATACCACCCGTAAATACATTAGAAAATACCTTACAAGATAGGAGGACATTTCCCTATAAACCACACTGTTACTACACCTACCAGTTCCCTAATATACTGTGATACGGCCTTTGCTCAAATTTGTCATCAAAACACCCGTCTTACTCTACGTCATTTGTTTTAGAAATTATTCAGACTCGAGTTTCTCCTCTTTGGGTTCATCTAGGCCAGGAAACAGGAGCTGGTTTCTCCCGGGCAGGCGGGAAGAGAAGGCCTGTTGGTAGAGGCATTTCCTCCTTAATGAGGGCTTGCCGGGTTTGTTGCAGGAGTAAAAAGTTGGGAGAAAATCTGAGGATGCTCTTAAGATTTTTCCATAAAGGAGTATGTGAAGGACTGAGGTCAAGTCGGAAATGTTCTAAGCATTTTCTGCTTAGAGTTCAACATACAATAAAGGAAGAAACAAAGTTGGAGTTTCAAGGCATGTGGCCCGCTCGAGTGTGTGGTAGCAGGGCAGACAAAAGTCACCTGCAGCCCTTCTGTAGAGGGGCTGATGCCTTAATACCCTCAGCCTGATTCAGCCGGCCCAGCCAGGAGGGAATAAACTTATTAAATTCTGTTTGCCTATTCAGACTTTATTTTTTATTTTCTGAGATTAGGGAATGAAGAACTGTGGTGTCCTGAATTTTCTGATAAGCCCTGAGGTATTTAGAAAATACATTTTGCTCTAAATCTCTCCCAAATACATTTGCAACACATGAAACAGTTGTAGGATTGAATAGACTGTATTGAAAAAAAAATACAGAAACGGCTTAGCGTATGAAAAGATAACCTTACACATAATTAAAGACAGACAAGATAAACGCCCAGAGGATATAATTAACACCCAAGAGATTGGCAAAGTCTTTTTAAAAAGTTTGATAATAAATGGATCTCTCTACTGCCATTTTCAGACACATGCAGTTGGTTTGACTCTTTGGAAGGTGACTTGGTACCCTCTATTAAAATGTAAAATTCCCACACACTAACCCATGCTTTGGTATTTGTAGATATATTTTATAATTGCATGTTTATAGGAGGAATACTGTACCAGTAGCTAGTGCTGAGCAAGTTAATGCTGCTTATGTGCCCAGCTCTGTGCTAAGAGCTTTGCCTGCATCACCCCATTTATTCCTTCCCATAACCCTAGGAGTCATGTACCAGATTGTATGCTGTAAAATTATTTGCAGTAGCAAAAGAAAGAGAAATAATATATGCCCACCAAGACAGAACTAGTTAAGTTTCTGTACATCTATCCATACACTGGGAGACAGTTGAGTGAATAGTAGGCATTAAATGATTGAGATATTGGGGCCGGCACTGTGGCTCACTTGGTTAATCCTCTGCCTTGTGGCGCCAGCATCCCATATGGGCACTGGGTTCTAGTCCCTGTTACTCCTCTTCCAGTCCAGCTCTCTGCTGTGGCCCGGGAGGTCAGTGGAGGATGGCCCAGGTGCTTGGGCCCCTGCACCCGCAAGGGAGACCAGTAGGAAGTTTCAGATTGGCACAGTGCCGGCTGTAGGCCATTTGGGGGGTGAACCAATGGAGGGAAGACCTTTCTGTCTGTCTCTCACTGTCTATAACTCTACTTGTCAAATAAATAAAAATTTTAAAAATGATTGAGGTATTATGTAGGAGACAGTAATCGCCAAAGGGGCCGGCACTGAGGTGTAGCGGGTAAAACCGCAGCCTGCAGCACCGGCATCCCACATAGGCATTGGTTCAAGTCCTAGCTGCTTCTCTTCTGATCCAGCTCTCTGCTATGGCCTGGAAAGCCGTAGAAGATGGCCCAAGTCCCTGGGCCCATGCACCTTTGTGGGAGGCCCAGAAGAAGCTCCTGGCTTCTGTCTTTGAATCAGCCCACCTCTGGCTATTGCAGCCATCTGAGGAGTGAACCAGTGGATAGATGTCTCTGTCTCTCCCTCTCATTCTGCCTCTCAAATAAATCTTTTAAAAAAATCTCCAAAATACTGCAACTAGAAACAAAGCCAAATATAGAGGTGTTTTGTTTAAATTTGTGTGTGTGTGTACACACAAACTGGCATTTATTGTTGGTAGGCTGTTCCAGGGAGAACAGGGTGGCAGGGACACACTTTTTACTGTACCCTTCTGAGATGTTTTTTAAAACATATGCATTTTTTTTTTTAAATTTTAAAAAGGCACAAGTAAGAACTTCTACTTCCACTCCCGACAAAGGATAATAATGGTAAATAACATTCTGTAGAAGGTTGGCATTTTTAGCACCTGGGTGTCAAGTTCAGAAATATCTCCTCAGACTGAAGTATTTTTATCTCCATATGTGTCTGTCCCCTGCTGGGACTGAGAGCCCCTGGGGCAGAACTGACTCCTGACTGTGCACGGGGCCTGGAAAAGAACAGGTATTTAACAAACGGCTGTCCAATGGAGGAATAAAAAGGGCATACAAGAGGAAAGAGAATACTTTCATTCCACGAGATTCCCCCAGGGCACACTCTTGGAAACATTTTCAAATCAAATTCTTGAGATGAACTTGTTTTCGTGGATTTGCCTGTGACTCAACAAGAAAACAACTCTGAGTGCAGGGCCAGAGTCCTCACACCACAGAGCCATGGGTAAGTGTTGTCACCCTTAGTTCTAAACTTCGCAACAGATTCAGATGTATTTTAAAATAGTTCATTAGCAGTAGTGGAATTCGAAATGCTGTTTGCATGCTCATTTGGAACCTTGAGTGGCAACACCCGTTGGGTGAGGTTTATTGCGCTCGCCTGGGCTGAGCGTGTGAGGGTGACACAGGTACGCACGTGGTAGGGGTTATCGGGGTTGAAGGGTTCCGAGTCCTCTTGAACGCTGGGTCGGCTGTCGTTCCTCATTCTTGCGGGACCTGGGTTGCCCCGGGGGCCACTGTGCGGTCTCTTTGTGGTGGTGGGAACAGTTTTTCTCACCACCTCTCTTCTTTCTCTCTGGATTTCTGCAAAAATTTCTGTAAGTTAATTCCATTATTTGCATATTAAAGAAGTTAGATCTGTTTATCAACAGGAAAAACATAAGGTCCTTAAGTATTCATGAAAAGATACTTTTTAATTTTGTGATGGTTTTTGTAATAAGAAAAGCTTTGGGTTAGTAGTTAAACATACACCTAACCCTATTTGGTGGCCTAGTACTGGGCAAGCAAATGACTCTTCTTCATTCAACGATGTGCACAGAAGAAGGGAATCCCAAAGAGTCTATCTGCCAGCCTCTTGGCAGGCTTCAAGATCAGAGTGCCCTGTCCTCCAGCAGCCAGAAATGGCCTCTCCGTCCAACATCCCTCACATTCCTGGCTGGATCCCTGAAGTCAGTTGGTGTCACGTGCATTCGGCATGCTAGGTTTGTTCATTTAAATACGTGAAGCTCCTCTTGCAGGTGCCCCAAGGTGGTGCCCCCATTAGTTCTGGGTGCCCAGTTTCATGTAGAGCAGCAGAGGGCAATCTGCTGCACCTTGCCCAGGTCTAGGCCCATTCTCAATCTTTTTTCTTTGCCTGCACCATCTTCCCCTGGCTCCTTTGCAGTTAGGAGTGACTGGGAGTGACATTTCTGACCAGTGAGACGCAAGCAGCGTGTGCTAGTGCAGTTTCTGGGAAAGCTTTGGCTTCCTTGATGAAAGGGACACACATGCCTTCTTCCATCTTGTTTTCCTTTCTTGAACACAAATGTGATATCTGGAGTTATGAGCGCCACCTGGTGAGCGTGCAGTGTTAGGACAGGGTAATGAGCCAGAGTGCTACAGACACCAAGAAGGTCAGCTGGAAAGAGCTGGTGGCCTGGCAGAGTGCACCACAGTGCCAGGGACCGCTCATCTCCGGACTTTATGTACATGCACACGACGCACTTGTTGAAATCCCTGTCGCTGAGGTAACTGCTACTTGCAGCCCTGTGTATTCCTAATGGATTGACGAGATAAGCCATGAAGTTTCACAGCTCGCAAGGGACATATTATCTCGAGTGATTCTTTATAAAAAAAAAATCCTACGGGATAGAAGAAATGGATGCCTCTATACAGGCATCCGGTCTCAGACCAAGTGCCTTGGCCAGGATCTTGGGATATGTGGCAGAGCCGAGAGTCACATGTGAACTCTGATCCACCGCACCGCCTCGGGGCTCCTGCAGCGTGGCTGGTGGCTCCTGAGTTGAAGGTGTGTCCACAGTGTGGATGGGGGTATCTCTCTGAGCTTTGGCGCTTCATCTAAAACAGATAACTGTGTAGTGTACAGGATAATCACGGAGTGAATGAGAATCTGTCTAAAGGTGCAAGCACAGTGTCTGGCGTATAATAAGCATTCAAATGTTAGAGGACGGTGACTGTATCGTGCTTTATTATCTATGAGAACTTAAGTGTAATTTCCAAAGCTGTGGTTGGCATCTGTATGCCTGGAGAGGCAGCAGGGAAACCTGGATTCAATTCACAAATCTACGTCTTTTCTGAATGTACCCCGGGTAAATGACTTAATCTCGATGAGGTTTAGTTTTTTCACCTGTAACATGGGGACATGAGTAGCTACCCCAGCGGTGGTGAGCATGAAGTGCAGCGCCCAGGTCGGTGCCTGGCACACAGTCCGTGCTCAGCCACCATTGGCTCTCACGTAACCTGCGTCCAGCCATCAGTCACTGTGTCCCTGATAACACAACTGTGTGACACTGATGACCGCCCACTTCAAGATCCAAGGGCAGCCGCTGTGGGACCCTGCCGTGGCGGTGGCGGGGAGGGGGCTTTCATTAGCATTAGGTGGTGGGCAGTGAGGCATCGTCAGAGGGGGATGGAGTTTCTTGATTTTTATTGCAAAATATGCAGCACATATGAGAGATTAGGGAAAAAAAAACTTCATTTAAAACAGGTATGATATTTGAAATGTGTGTGATGGTCCATCTTATTGATATCCTAACATTAATCCTTTTCTAATCTGGGGCGTGTTTCCCGTGAACATAATGTATGTAACTCTTGTATGAATGGAGGGGGCATTGAATATTTAACATGTGGGCCTGCGTGGTGCTGTGAGGGACCTGGGCACGTGGTTGAACGTCGTCGTGGGGAAAAGCTCTATACCTGGGGGTGCAGACAGTCACTGCATCAGGCCTCCAAGCAGCGCCAAGCCAGCTCTCTTCCTGTCCCTGCCCCCACCCCCTTACCCTGCCCTGTTGGTTTTCCATAGCTCTTCCTATCATACCGTACGATTTTTCCTGATTGAGTGTGTGTCTGCTGTCTTCCCTTGCTACAACGTAAAACCCCTTGAGGACGTGGATTCTGGACTGTTCTGGGCACTGTAGAACAAGCACGTGGGGCATACTGGGCCTGCACAGCCGTGTGCTGGCTGCAGGAATCAGCTCTTTGGGTGAGGCTCTTCCTCAGACAGAGTGTGAACACGGAGAGCGGCACACGGTGACGGTCAGGGGACTCTGGGCCACCTCGACTAGAAGAGGTGGCAGTTCCTGGGTGGTGGAGAGCTAGAAGGCAGGTGGGGAATGCAAAGCCCGAATTTGGCCAGTGGCCATACTGTGAATCTTAGCTCCCCCGTGCGGACAAAAGCGGGAATGGCAGCTGCACAGCGCAGGTGGCAGCTGCCGCCCGCCCCCGCAACTGCAAAAAGCTGTGACAGTTGAACCCGCACGCGGCCTCGGGCTCCGCCGCCGCCCACACGGACACTGACTCCGGCTTGCCTCCTGAGGCTAGAGAAACTGCTTCTCCAGCCTTTGGAACAGAATAGGACTTGTAAACCCTTAAGGCTAAGTTAGTCATGGCAGGGTCAGAAACTGGTACTTTCTAAGCCTGCTGGGTTTAGTTTTGTTTTCCTGGAACAAAATGCATAACAAAATGTACTGTTTTAGCCAATTTTTAGTGTACAGTTCAGTGGCATCGCGTGCCTTCATATTGCTGTGCAACCCTCACCACCATCCATCTCTGGAAGTTTCCTCATCTTGCAAAAAATGAAAACTTTGCACCGATTAAACACTGTCCATTCCTCCTCCTGTCACCCCCACCCCACCAAGCTTAGTGGCCTCAATGTCTATATATATATATATTTTTTTAATTCCATGCTGCTCTCTCCTGATGTTCAGAAAAATCTTTGAGAAAGCATAGTTCGACCCAGGAGTTACACAGTAGGCCTCCGGGAAACCAGGGTGGTGAGTGCCAGGGAGAGGGAGAGGCCCCCTGCAAATTGGGGGTGCGGGGAGTGAGGCCCGCAGGGCTCACCTGCCCTTGGTCATGGGAAAACAGCCCAAAGGATTGCTCCCTCAACTCGGAGACCCTGAGTGAGTTCTCACTGGGCTTGCAAGCCGCTGTTTAAGCCATGAACTTGAGAAATCTCAGCCTATACCCAGAGAGGCTTTTGGCTGTCCCATAATTCTAGGTCTGAACATCATAAAGAGTTGGTGGTATGACAGCTTCTCAGTCCCTTGATTCTAGCCTTGGGAAGGGAAAAAAAAAGGGTAAAATTGGAAGGCACAAAAAACAGAGATTAAGGGCAAGAGCAGAAAGAAGTGGGAGTGTCGTAAATAAAAGCAGTAGGCAGCTCGGCTGTTCCGTCTCCTCCTCCAGGCTGTCCTCTTCCTTTTCTTTCTCATGCTAATTACTGGGACCCTGCACAGGCCTCCTGATCCCTCCTGCTCCCTACCTGCTCAGGCCTGGAGGGGTCTCCTCCCACCCCACCCCCAAGCTCGCAGGGGCAGGGAGTGTTGCAAGGGGGATCAGGTTCATTTAAGAAGTTACCTTTTGGATATGTTGGTTTAAGCCAGAAAATCGGAAGGTCGCCGCAGAGTTCTAAGACTCTTGCGCTCAAAAAGCTGTTGTCCTGGACAGGCTGCCCCACGGCCACCCAGACTAGAGCCTCCTCTTCGTGTTTCACGGGCATGATCTTGCCTTCCTGTGGGCGAGGAAAAACAACACGCATTTGAGCACAGGGGACGGTGGGAGGTGCTGCGGCGAGCAGTCGCAGGTGGCTAGAGGGTGACTTTGCCTTGGAAATGAGAGTTGTGTGAGGGTGTGCAGGTGTGCACGTAGCGCACACGCACTTGGAGAGAAAGTTCCTCATCTCTCTGTAGCTGGCCGTGTTCACAGCGCTCAGCACATCTAGCTGCGATGTGTGAATATGTGTGTCCTGAGCTGGAGTGAAAATTACTTGATACCAGCCTGGAGATTCAGGTTAATCTGATGTTTTTGATCAAAGCTGTTTTTGAGGGAAAGCAATTGAATGGACCCCGGAATCCTGTAAAGAATAGAGGAGCCCTTCATTTGAAGTGAAAAAATCTTGTGGGGTTTGATTCTGCGGCTTCGGAACAACAATTGGAAAAAGCAAGTGATTGGTTCTTTAATGTCTTCAGTTCAAAGTGTTATTTAACATAAACCATTTCTCCATTTCCCAGCTATAACAAAATAGGGTTCAGATGTTCCTCCTATCAAGCGCACCACTGAGATTCAAAAGCTAAACCCTGGATTTGCTTCTACTGCGAGAGGCTGAGACCGGTCTCCTAACCCAGGAGACAGATCTGTTTTGCCAGGTTCTTGCTTTCATGTATTTATTAGTTTGTAATAGGTTGGAGAAATTAAAATGTTTTCTCCTTATTTTTAGCTAAAAGCAGCACTTCATTTACTCCTTCTCCCTCAGGCTATGGCTGCATTAAAACAACTTCAGGTTATTGGAGGAAGCTCACACTCAGGTAATCCAGTTATTTACCTTAAATTAAATGACTCCATGCAGGAAATGAATGCTCTCTGAGTACAGTAGCTTCTTAAAGTTATACAGAGCTGATGAAACATTTATGAGAGCAATTGCCGCATAAATCTCCCCCATCACGGTCTAAAGTGTGTGGGGAAGAGTGGGATGACTGGGATAATGCATACAGATGCAGCCTACAAGCCAAGAATGTTAAATCAATCTCCAGGCCTGGTCTTCGGTTGCCTCCCGACCTCCTGCCTCTCTCTGGTTCCTTGCAGACGAGCATGATTTTGTTGGAGGCTGCAGTGTGCCCAGTGCCAGGAGAGAGAACCACTAAGAGGTCGGAGGGGCCCGGGTGACCGGCGCTAACCAGGACCATCCAGGCCGACGTCTGTGTCAGGGCTTGGAGGCCTTTGTTTTCGCTTGACTAACACTAAGTCATGGCTGGCACTACTCAGCCTTTTCGTGACTTTGGAAGTCAGAGTGAGGGTGGGCAGTGCTGTCCTGTTTGAAGCTGGAAAGAAAGATTCAAAAACAACAACAACAACAAATCGCAGAGATAGTGGCCACTGAGTCAACCTCCTGTTTCTACACTGCTTGCCATGCAGAAAACCCAACCCCTAGCTGTTTAAGTTACTCTAAGTGTACTTTGCTGCTTCCTACAGCCGTACACATACCTTATGTACGCAAACGTCTGGATTTTTTTTTTTTTTGTCTAGCAGAGGATCCACTATACATGACATAAATGACTAAAACACAAGATCCACCTCTATGGTCTAAGACTCAGACACAGACAAAGATTTAAATACAAAAAGAGGAGCAGGTGTTTAGTGTAGTGATGAAGACATCCGCAGCCCACATCGGTGTGCCTGGGTTGAACCGGCTCCAGCTTCTGATTCCAGCTTCCGGCCAGTGCAGACTCTGGGAGGCAGCGGGGAAGGCTCCAGTCCTGGTTCCCTTCCCCCAACACAGGTTACCTGGATCACGTTCCTTACTCCTGTTGCTAGTCCTACCCCTGCTCCAGCTGTTGTGGGCATCTGGGGAATGAGCCTACAGGCAGGAGCTCTCTTCTGTCTGTCTGTCTGCACCCCCCCCCCCTTGGCCTCTGCCTCAAATAAAGACAATTTTAAAATTTAAATACAGAAATAGCACAGTGAATCATTTAGAATTCAAAATCATTATTTCAGTTGCCACCATCAGAGATAGTTGAAAATTGAGGTATAATGAAGTGTTCCAGAATGAGACTTAAAATCCCGTGATGACACATACCACATCCATCATCATCTGCGTTGTAGAAAAACCAAAGCGACAATAATAAGAGTGCACAGAAGTCTGACTACCTCTGAATAGAATGTTACACATGCAGGAGACCCACCAAAATGTCAACATTGGTTACCTGTGGATTATACAATTGTGGGTGATTTTCTTCTCCATACTTTTATGTGTTTCTCAAAGTTTCTACAGTGGCAAAGTATTGTGTTTTAAATCAGGGGTGGGGAGGGAAGGGAACTCATTTGAAAAAAGAAAACACACTGCAGACCTGTAATCAGGGCAGAGTCCGCTGTGGCTGGGGAGGTGGTCCAGGGGAAGCAGTCCTCTGTCCCTCTGTCCGCGTGTGGGGGACAGGGCGGGGATTGGAGCTGTACTGTCAGCAAAGGGGAATGCAGGAAGGGAAGCTGTTCTCAGCATTAGCAAGTGAGAGCACACCCTTTGCTTCTGCACCACCCAGCTCGTGGGTGGGGTACGGGGTGGGGGGCGTCAGAAATAAGGACCGGACCCCAGGCCAGGGAAGCCTCTCACAGGATGAATGCTGGGAAACAGGAAACAGGTAGCCAGTTTTTAAGACTCACAGGTTTGTTGTTAGCCTCTGTTCTGTTCTGTTTTGACTTGAGACACCACCTGCTACTTCTCCTCTGGGGGCAAACAATCAGTTTCCAGGCACCTTTGCTTACCCATATTTTTCCTCTTTTGCCTTAAGGGAGCTGATCTTGCTTCGCTTCCCTCTCAGGGATACTGGAGGGCTTGAAGATGATCATGATAGAATTAAAAACACTGAGCGAGAACCATCTGTTCGCCAGGCAGTAGATTCTAGGGCCACAGGCACAGTGTGCATACCCCCAGCTTGCAGAAGACAAAACTGAGGCTGAAAGAGGCCTCATCCATAGCCTGTGTCAGAGCTGGGATGGAACTCACGCCCTTCAGGCTCCATCATCCACTTTCTTTCCACCATACCCTGCCACACTCAAGTGGAAGACAAAATGAATGTGACCCCTTCGTGAGCCTTAAAGTATTATCAAAACGTAAGGCGACTGCCTGCAGTTCTAAAAGGAAATTTTAAAAACCAAGTTCCAAGGGGAGTTATTAATTATTAAGGAAAGATTAAAACTCACAGGCTTGGCACATGGAAAAGGCATTAGATATGATGTTAGGTAGCTTCCCTGGGTTGACCTTGAACCAACAGGAAGCAATCACAGCTCGGTGCAGGGGAAACCTGTCGATATCAGGAGGAATTCCCACGCTGACGGAGGCTGAAGCGGGAAGGCTTCCGAGGTCCCTTTAAAGAAGATTCTATCTTGTGGAGTCTTAATCTCTGATCAGATCGCTCCCTAACACCAGGCAAGTAAGAGCTGAGTGAGCACCAGGCCCCTTTATGCGCTTTCCAACATGGCTTCCCTAAGACCTTAAATACATTGTATCAAGAAAGAAGGATGCCCTGGAAACAGCAGGACAAGAACCTAGGTTCCCATCAGGATGGATCCAGGATCTAGAGGCTGCAGGGAGATTTTGCCTCCAAACAAGGTCTGCCCAAACCTCCCGCCATCCCGCCCCTGAGGGTACCCACCAGTTCCGAAGAGATGCTCTGTTGGGTCACGGTGCCCACCTCAGGGACGCGAGCCTTCACCTGCGCCTTGATGTAGCACTTCTCTCCCCCAGCAAAACGGATCCCTGTGATGCCCTGTGAAGCGAAAGTGTATCCAGTGTTCATTTCTCTTCAACAGATTGAGTGTCTGTTGTGAACAAGGCACTGTTCTAGGTGCCGGGGATAGGGATGAACAAAAAATGAAATCGCTTTCATGGAGCTTAGCTTCTAGCATAATTGACCAATAATAAAAAAATATAGATAAAGCAGCCGGTGCTGTGGTGTAGTGGGTAAAGCCGCCACTTGCAGCGCTGGCATCCCATATGGGCGCCGGTTCCAGCCCCGGCTGCTCCACTTCCAATCCAGCTCTCTGCTATGGCCTGGAAAGCAGTAGAAGATGGCCCAAGTGCTTGGGCTACTGCACCTGCATAGGAGACCTGGAAGAAGCTCCTGGCTTCAGTCTGGCCCAGCCCTGGCAGTTGCAGCCATTTGGAGAGTGAATCAGTGGATGAAAGATCTCTCTCTCCTTCACTCTCTCAAATAAATGAATAAATCTTTTTTTTTTTTTTTTAATGGAGATAAAGTAACTAAGGCAGAGAGAGAGAGAGTAGGACTAAGGGACGGTACTTCACACAGCAGTCAGGGAGGTGACCAGGAGAGGGTGATCTTTGCACGGAGATGGAGCATAAGGGTTTGGCCATCTCCACCCAGCAGCCCAGAGGAAGTGCCCGCTTGTCCATGCAGCCCTCTGTGAATGTCCCAGGCCACGTGGGCCCCCCTGCCTCTGCCTTCCCACCCGTCTTCATCTCTCTCGCCACCTTGTCCAGGCTGCCCTCACCAGGACCAGTCTCTCTCAGGATCAGTCTCTGAACCTTTTGTTCTTTTTATTTTTCCTTCTTGCTGATTCACTGAAAGGTTCTCAAAAGATGTTGGTCTAATAAATGAAGTCCATGAATTCAGAATTTTTTCCAAGTTACCATGCGCAGAGTAAATAGGAAAGCTCTCCGCAGCACCTGGAGCTGAACTCTGCTCCTAGACCTTATCCAAGGATGGGGACGTTTTGTTTTTTGGCCCTTGTGAGATATAGACAGTGTCTTCTCCTCCGCCTAGGGACCAGCCTCAAAGGGCACATCAGCCACAGGGCTCCGTCTGGGTGGACAGCTCGGCCCCGATTCTCCCTGCAGAAGACATAGGGTAGCAGTACTTTCTGGCCCAAGAATGTTCTCTGTCACCTTGCTGGTTTTAGTTTCACAACAAATGAGTTACCAAAAATAGTGTTAAACATGTACAAATGAGGGGGCTGGTGTTGTAGGGTAGTGGGTAAAGCCGCCTGCAAACCGCTGGTATGCCGTAGGGGTGCCAGATCCAGTCCCAGCTCTTCTGATCCAGCTCCCTGCTAAGGGCCCGGGAAAAGCAGCAGGAAATGGCCCAAGTGTCTGGGCCCCTGCCACTCACGTGGGAAACCCAGAAGTTGTTTCTGGCTCTTGGCTTTGGCCTGGCCTAGCTCCAGCCTTCGTGGCTATCTGGGGAGTGAACCAGCGAATGGAAGATTGATCTCTGTTGATCCCCCTCTCTGTCTCTCTCTGTCTCCCTCCCCTCCCCATAACTCTTTCAAATAAAAAAAAAAAGTCTACAAATGATATGCCTTGATAATGTAGCCATACAAATCCAAACCACATCAATCTTCTGTTGAGGCAAATATCGGGATGATACAGAATTGAGAAGTCTGGAGTCAGTGCTGGAGTCGAGGAAGAAAGGCATAGCAGGTAAAGCCACCACCAGCAGTGCCAGCATCCCATATGGGCGCCGGTTCAAGTCCCAGCTGCTCCACTTCCCATCTAGCTCTCTGCTATGGCCTGGGAAAGCAGTAGAAGATGGCCCAAGTCCTTGGGCCCCCACCCACGTGGGAGACTAGGAAGAAGCTCCTGGCTTCAGATCGGCCCAGCTCTGGTGGTAGCAGCCATTTGGGGAGTAAATCAGCATATGGAGGACCTCTCTTTCTCTCCCTGCCTCTGCCTCTCTGTAACCCTGCCTTTCAAATAAATAAATAAATCTTAAAAAAAAAAAAAAAAAAAAGCACTTAGCAATCTAGGGGGCCTGGAGCAGGTGTTATGGCACAGGGAGTTAAGTCACCACTTGCAATGCCAGCATCCCACATGAGAGTGCCAGTTCAAGGCTCGGCTGCTCCACTTCAGACCCAGCTCCCTGCTAATGCCCCTAGGAAAGCAGTAGCAGATGACCCACGTGCATGAGCCCTGGCCACGCATGTGGAAAACCCAGATGGAACTCAAGGCTCCTGGCCCAGCCTGGGCTGTTGTAGCTGTTTAGGGAATGGACCAGTGGATGAAAGAGCTTTCCCCATCTCTGTGTCACTATGCCTCTCAAATAAATCTTTAAAAAATATAAATAAAATTAAAAAGTAGAAATCTAGGGGCCCTGGCTCAGGATTTAGCCCTGAATGAAGAATGAAGAGAAGTTACGGTACCTTGGAGGACCTTCGTGGGAAGGTCTAACCTTAGGCAGTCTCAGAGCCCGGAGTCTCCACTAGCCCTGGGGAAGTCTGGGCAACAGAGAGGGAAGGCTCTTCCTCCCTAGAGCACCTCTATGCACCCTGAGGCCTTGCTGGCCCCTAGACTCACAGCTCATTTCCGCCAGGGCCCTGGCGGCACCAGAGTCCCCTGCAGAAGTTTTAGGAACACACAGGCCTGGCTCCACGTCCAGCAATGATCGTCTCAGCTGCTCCCCAAGGGTGAGGCCCACCAGTTTAGGGAGAAAGGGATTTGTTTATTAAGTGACCCCATAACCTTTGGACAGCGGTTTACCAGTGGCGCACAAATTCTCCCTTAACATCCGAATCACCCGGAGGTCTTGTTATATAAGACACAGAGCTTTGGGCAGGGTCCCTCTCAGAGGCGCTGACCTGAGGAACACACTTTGAGAACCAGTGCTCTTCCCATTCTCCAAAAGTCTGCCCCTCTTATTCTGCATGTAAATCTAGGAGTCACTGCTAGAAAAACGGAAGGCAGGAAAGAGCGGTGAATGTCTCTCTGTGTGCTGTGTTCTTTCAACTTCAAACACTCGTGCCCTCTGCCTGGCAGGTGCGCCAGCAGGAAGCGCCATCAGACCTCGATGATACCGAGAGGGAGAGCGGTGATCCTACTGTGGGATTCACAGCCCCGAACCTGAATCCAGTATTGAGTTAGTTCTGACAGCACACCTGCTGCAGAGAACTGAAACCCCACGGGGACCCGACTTGTGGGAAGGGATTCACACATATTAACTACCGTGTCTAGCACAAATCCACATCAAGCAGGCAGATCGAGCAGAGATTAAACAGAGGGAACTAAGTGCAGCTCAAGAAAGCCAAGCAAACCTGTTTTTTGCAAACAAACCAGGCCTTCCTGAGCTGGGGACAATGAGGAGGTTTGCTAACAAAGGCAATGAGGGAAGAGTTCAAAGATAAAAGCCACACGCTTATCAAACATCAGGCAGCCTCACCTTGGCTGCACAGGTTTTCTTTTGAAGGAGACCTTCCTTATTTCTATAGCTTACACCAAGGATTCCCAAGAAGGGTTGGGGTCTTGCCCCAGAGGAATGCTTTCGAGATGTCTGGGGAACAATTGTCACAAAGATTGGGATGCTCCTGGCTTCCTTGGGGTAGGGGCCAGGGGATGGCAGTCCTGCAGAGCCAGGGGCAGTCCCGAGCTGAGTCTGAAGGGCAAGCCTGTTGCTGAGTATTCCTGCCTAGACCCCAGCACTGTTTTACACAGCAACACAAAGTGACTTTTAGCAGAGTCTTAATGTGCAAGTTCCCTAGAGATGCAATTACTATGAAAATGGAAAGAAAACAGCACTTTTGTCCACTGCTTGAGAAAATTCCATGGCATTTAATTTACCAACACACACTCATGTCCATCTGCATTTTAGACTGCAGCATTGAAAATCATTCAACTTACGGGCGCAAGGCTTGACTTTATTATGTCTTGTGAACATTTACATAGGAAGTCCATATTTTACTCTGAATTACTTTCGTTTTATTTTTCCCTTATGTTACATTTGGAAGCTATATTGATTTTTGAAATCAACAACCTACTTACCAACTAGACAGGTCATGCTATACTTTTCTCCTCTAGCTTTTTAAATCAAGACTTTTGAATACTTACAAAAGTCAAAGAATTGTACAATAAACACCCATATGCCCACCAGTGTTTATTCTCTTTTAATTTCTAAACAGAATTTTTATTATATACATCGGGCTTTGAGTCTGAGGGGATTGCAATGCTTAAACCAATTCTAATCCTTGTGAAGATATAACCTTCTAGAATGTAACCCATTGTTATGATTGGATAGGATTTGACTCCCTGAACTCATGCAGATGTTTGAACCCCAAAGTCGGTTGTTAGTGGATTCATGTACTGTGGAGTCTCCATCCAATTTGGCATTGAAGGTGGGCCCTTTGGGAAGTGACTAGACTGGGTTAAGTTTGCTGGAGTTGAGCCTCATGACCAAATCATGGTGGCATTATAAGCAGAGACCATGCTGGGGTGGGGAACTTTTCTTCTGTGACACCCATTTGGATATTTATAGCATCATTCATGGGCCATCCAAGATTACCAACTTAAAAATTAGCATGCTGTAGATTTATTGATGTTGAGTCCCACCTTCAGTTGCCTTGGCGAGGCCAGACCAAATGATTTTGTGGGCCTAATACAGCTTGCAGGCCAGGCGTTCCCCACCCCTGTGTCACAGAGCGTGAAGGAAGAGTGTGCTCCTGTCTCTCTGCTTCCCCACCTGTCGTGTGATTCTGCTCTGACCTCGCCAGCCTCCATCAGATGCCAGCCTCATGGAGTCAACTGATCTTGAACTGTGAGCCTCCACAACTGTAAGCAAAAGTAACCCTTATTCCTGCCTAAATCGTTCCTCCAAGGTATTTTAAGGTAACAGGAAACTGACTAACACACTTAGGCACTATGAACTAACCCAATTTTTATCTCTCTCAGGGTATATTTGTGTGTGTGTTGTTTTCTTCACTCCCCTTGGGCTGTAGTAAGATCTTGGTGCCTCCCGGGGCGAACAGGAAGGCTGTTCATTCACAATTCAGAACCTTTCATAACCTGGCCCCACTTTCATCTCCATCGATTTTTCGCTACATTTGGCCACAGTGGGCTGCTTGGAATTCTGGAACAGGCCTGTGCATTCATGTGTGTTATTTTTCTCTGGGCCTGGAAAGCACTCCTCTCCACCCCCTCCCCACCGCCCCTTCCTCTCTGCCGGCTGAAGCCCTAATCATTCCCCAGGACCTGATTCAATTGTCAGGGCCTCCATTACACCTGCTCTGATCCTGTCATCGGCAGCAGTGCCTTCTCTTGGTGTGTCCACAGCGCTCTGCCCATCTTATCACAGTATGTCTCCAAGGTTGACCCAAAGCTGGTCCTCTGTGCCAGTCATCTTTGTATCCCCCATGCTCAAACTGCCCCTTGCACACAGTAGGACTCAATCAACTCTTCCTGAATTTGACTGATGCTTTAAAGTATAAGAGAAAGTAATAAAGCAGGTACCATAGAGGCTGATTCATGTGTTTTCCAAAGTCCAGGCTTGCTTAAACCCATAACAGGTACTATCCATCAAAAAAATGTTCTACTCACCAGTTCTGACTTAGAGATATGTGGAAGCTATCAAAGAGAATTGATCAGTTTATAAAATATTTGTAGCCCTGTTGGTCTATGAGAACAAAACACAATCGATACCATCATTAGAAAGAACCCAAGGATTATAAAACAGAAATACAGGTTTGGGATTAAAATATTTTAAAAGGATATTCTTGATACATGGCCATGTCCAGAGAGATGGAGCTTTTCTTATTCATCTTTGTAGTAGTTCCCTTTGCGTATCTTGATATTGTGGCATCTCGTTGTATTCAGTTTTGCACTGAATTGAATGATGTCAGTGGAGGAGTCACATTTTATTAGTTTATATTGAGTAGTATAAACGAAGAAAAACTGTTTTCACCCTTTCCTGGGTATTGCAGTAAAAGCCTTTAATCGGTCTGGAGAAATTATACTTGTGTGCTGACTAGAACCATTTACAAAGCTATGACTAAATAAAGTGCAGTAGGGCACACACGGAGCTGCACAGCCTGTCCCAGGGCAGAGATCACTCTGAACAGAGCCAGTGCTTGTCACCATCAAATAAGGCCTATTTCACAGGGCTCTCACGTTAACATCTGCTGGGTATTCAGAAGGATTTGTGAAGTGTGTTTGGGTACCAACCAGAGGAGTGCTTTCATTCAAATGAAAAACATCTTTAGTTCTTCTCATCAATCAGAGGAAGATGGGTCAGTGAGATGTTTGTGGACCAATAAAATATCAGAAGAGACATTATTTTCAAGAGCCTCTCTTCCCAATAAAGTTCTATCTACTCCCTGTGCAGATTTAACAGAGGTGCGATGCCTCGTCCCCATTGTTAGAACGTGAGGGAGAGAAAGACATTTATGTTCCCAACAGGAGAGACAATTTCATTTGCAGATGAATATTGAAGCATTGCTGCATAGCCTGATGTCTCAAACTGCTTGTAAATTAACTTTTTTTGTAAAAAGAAAAAAAAAAACCAGTCTTCTTTTCAAAGAAGATTCGAGTATTTTACCTGGAATAGGCCATGGTCAGCAAACATGCCATCACAGGCGAGTCTTCCAAGCCAATGCGCTGGCTTCAGTGAGAAATTAGAAGAATTGAGAAAAGTATGTCACAGACCCCACCTATTATTGAGGAGAGGTCATTAACAATTCTCACCTCTTTAGAAATTCAAGCTTTTGGCTTGGCAACATTCTAGGAGGATTTGAGTATTTTATCCACCACATTAGAGAAAACAGATGGGAAAGAAATAGTTCTTTCAAGTCCTTCTGCCAAGACTATATCATTCCCAGAACATGCTTTGTTTTTTTTTTTTTTTTCAGTAATGTGGTGTTTTAATTTTTTTTTTTCATTTTTCAAAATCAAGTTCTGTTTTGATTTCTAAGCTCACATTGTTTATTCCCTAGAAGCAAAAAATTTAAAACCAGAAGTTATTTCCTGAAGTGCATGAATGCAATATAAGTAGGTTTGGGGGGTGGCGTTTTGAGTTTTTAACCCTGAAGTGTTGTCTTCAGTGTGGTTCTTTCTCAAAGAGAATAAACTCCGACACATGTTAGTGGCATGACACCTGCTGTGAAACCTGGTGATCACTGGGATGTGCGTGTGCGAGAGGCTGCTTCTCCTTGAATGAGAAGGGTCCCCGAGGCTTGCCTGGTTACCCTCTAAATGTGTGAAATATACTCACGTTCTGGAAGTCATTAACTTCAATGGCTTCTTCAGCTCCACTTCCCATTTTAAAGGTCTCCAAGTTGTTCCTAGCATCTATTTCCATTGACCCATCTTGTAATTTCCCATTGATACTCATGGTGTAATGGACGTTGTAAATCTGCAAGGGAACAGGAGAGTTAGCGACGCTTTCTGTTCCCAGCAAGTCAGGCCTTATCTGGAGACCTGCACTGGGGGAGGTACCGCTCATATTTTTCAGAGACATGTGCCAGCTTCCTTTACAATAGCATATTTACAAGGTCTTCATCCTACACCAGTCCCTCATTACAGTGATTTCTTTAAAAATATCTTAAAGGTAAAACCCTTGATAGTCCCTGGATACTTATTCAAATAGCTCAGTGTTTCGCAATCTTGGGTGCACATCAGAAGCACCGGGTCGACTCACCAGGGGCCACACTGAGTTTCATCCTCAACCAATCAAATCTGAGCCTGTAGGGACGAGGATGGAGCACTGGTCCTTCTTTACAGCTCAATTCTATCATGCAGCTGGGTAGAGTGAGAACCACTGATCGGTACATGGAAACTGAGGAGGCAGAGGGCTACCTGGGCAAGTTTGAACCAGTCTGCAGTGGCATCTCAACATGCGAAGCATTTTTAAACTCTTTCATATTTTTAAGCAATCCTTTGGTCAAGGTTAGGCATGGAGTGTGGCATATAGTTAGAACTGCAGTCAGGACTAGAATAGACTTGATATAGAGTAGCATTTGTAGAGAGCAAGGTCAATGTGCACATCTGTTCCAGTTCCAAATGGGAGTTACTCACTTAATGACCCTGTGGGACAGGCATATGGTGTAGGGCATTTTGTTATAATGAGATGTGCAGGGAGTGAGGGAGAGGGGGAGGGAACTTGACACTGCAGAGGAGCACTGGCCCAGGAAGAGGAAAAACAGGTGACCACACCACTTATCCCCGGGTCTTGGGAGTGGGCCTTGAATGCAGATGGAGAAGTTGGACCTCTTAATTGGTTTTCACCCATGTCCATAGAGCTCAGAGGCTGCACAGGTGTGGCCCAGAGGTGAGATGGTAGAGCAGGTGGGACTGTGAAGTGCCTTCCCTGTTCACCCATCATCTAATCAGACTGGCTCTGTTACGTGTTGCATTTCTCAGTAAGATTTTGTTAGAAAAATCCACCTCTTAATATTGTTTTTTAAAGGCATCCACTAAGTTAGATGATCCAATGGAGTCTCAACATAGACTTTAAAAACCAACTTACTTATTTGTAAGGAGGAGTCACAGAGACATAGGGAGAGACATAGAGAAATCTGTCATCCACTGGTTCATTCCACAAATATTTGCACCATCTGGGGTTGGGTCAGGTGGAAGCCAGGAGCCTGGAACTTCATCTGGGTCTTACACGCGGATGGCAGGGATCCAAGTACTTGGGCTGTTACCTGCTGCCTTCCCAGGTGTATGAGCAGGAAACTGGTTTGGAAGTGGAGTAACTGGGACCCAGATCAGCCCTCTGATATGGGACGTGGATATCCCAAGTGGTGGCTTAACCCACTGTGCCACAACACCTGCCCCAACTTAGACATCTTATTACTACGCTGGCTTAAAAATAACCCACTGCTGCTCCTGCTCGGCTTGCTGTGCCCTGCTAGGTCTTTGTGTGGTGAGGCAGTAGTGGATTTCTTACTTCTTTGGACTTAGTGGTATAGCCATCTTATGTATGACACAGTATATGTGTGTGTGTGTGTGTGTGTGTGTGTGTGTTGTATGAGGGCACCTCAAAGTCAGTGAAAAATGGATTTAAAAAATAAGTTTGTCCATGCTTATGAGAGACTTGTAAAAAGTTCATGGAAAATGCATATTATGAAAATGCTATGCATAGACTTAAAAATGTTTGATACTAAAATAAACTTATCTTTTAATTTGATTTTCCATGAACTTTTTGAAGCATCTTTTTTTTTTTTTTTTTTTTTGACAGGCAGAGTGGACAGTGAGAGAGAGAGACAGAGAGGAAGGTCTTCCTTTGCCGTTGGTTCACCCTCCAATGGCCGCCGCGGCCAGCGTGCTGCAGCCAGCGCACCGCGCTGATCCAATGGCAGGAGCCAGGTGCTTCTCCTGGTCTCCCATGGGGTGCAGGGCCCAAGCACTTGGGCCATCCTCCACTGCACTCCCTGGCCACAGCAGAGAGCTGTCCTGGAAGAGGGGCAACCGGGACAGAATCCAGCGCCCCGACCGGGACTAGAACCCGGTGTGCCAGCGCCGCAAAGTGAAGTATCTTTGTATTGTACATAACATAAATTTTACATTTCTGTATTTTTATAAATATGTGTGTACATAAATCTTTAAAAGGGAAGGAATGAGAATGGATGAAAGACAGTTGCTAATTAATGTCAGGTCAGCTGGTTAGAAAAGCAAGTATCTGGGATTCAATTCAAGTGCATTTTCTCCCTCATTATGAAGAATGACTGCTACAGGGACAAACATTTGGACTCTGTATCTGTTGTTACTGGCTCATGACTTGTAGGAAACTCATTATTACAAGACCCACAGAGCACCATTTGATTTGCTCAGCGGAGATGCAGAAATAGCTTTGCCATCTGGGGTACCCTTCTTGGGTAGCAGCGTTCATCCAGTGGGACAGAAAGGATCGGCCGTGTTTCTGTTCAGCCATGCCTCCCGCCCCTCCTTCCCTCCCTCTGTGGAACTGCGATGTCTTCCAAGCTCGCCTGATCAGAAGAGTCACTTCTAGGGGTTCTGAGTTAGCGGAGCTGGAGCAGAGCCCACCAGGCTGTTTTCACTTTGCCCCTCGGCTGGTCCTTATGATCAGCCAAGTTAAGGAAACCTGCTTTCTTTGGCTGGGCCAGTGCTTTCCACAGGTAAGGTTTAGAAAGCAGGCTGTGTGCTGCCCGGTCTCTCCCAGAAGCCACTATTCACAGGAGGTAATGAAGACTGTCACCAGGAGCCCAGCAGACAGTTCTGGTGCGACTTCCTGCTGGCAAACGCATCCTCCGCTCAGGTGACAAGAGGCTCCTTTTAAAAAAGGAAAGAAAGCACTGCACATAGGCATTTATCGATAAAGCAATGCAACATTTAAGAACTCAATCCCTTCCAAGTTCCTAGGGATCCTTAGGAGCTGGAATGGTAACATGAGAAGAGTGACCTGTGGGCCTAATGTCACTTTCCTTCTCCATCACCCTTGCCACCTCCCCACCAACAAAGGCTCCCCAGCCAGCTACTGCATCCCACTTGGACTTCAATTTGCTGCACCCGGACAGCTGTGACCCTCCTGAGGCCATGGGAGAAAAGGGGAGGGGAGGGCAGAAAGGAGTTTGCAGTTTCCAAAGTGCTGGGCTCCGGGCTGGGCTGCTGGAGCAACCCAGCCACTGCATTATCTGCTCTAAGCCTGTGGAGCTGTTGGCACCTAGGGCTATTTCTATCCCAGTACAATGAAGTTTATTATTTGCCAAAATTCTGCTCAATATGGTGCCTTTTGCAGCCAAGGATATTTGCTAATGAGTTTTTAATAAGACCTAGGTTTTATAAGATTAATTACATTAGTTTGGGAAAATGTCTGGGAAAAATTGGTCTGAGAAGAAAAGCCCCCAGCAAGGATCTCCTCCCCCTATCCCAGAGGGTGTGTTGTCAGTTATCTCATATTAGCAGCAATTTCCCGTATTGCAATGCCTTGTTCTATTTACAATAATGGGGATGAAGCATGGCCTCAATCTTTGAGCCCTGTCAGTTGTCTCCTGATTATTAGTGCTCTGAAGGTTCCCAGTCTTCCAGCTACATGTGAATAATGCTGTCCTTAGGGCATCTGCCCACAGGCAGGGGAGAGGAGGTGAATTACAGTTGGCTCTCCTCTATAAACAAATGCAAAGAAGCCGAGGCACAGATAAGCCCCAAGAGTGGTTAATCCACTTGGTTTGATAGGTCTTTCTGTTCCACACAGACTTACCTTTTTTGATGCCGTTTCGTTTGGATTATTTAGATTTGTGTTCAAGGAAAGCAGCCCCATGCATGCGCTGTGCATGGACGATGCCACATTTACTCTTTTTAATATTTTGTGATTTGTTTTTCAGGCTTAAGTAATATGGATCCGCATTGGACATTTTGGGAGAAAAAAAAAACCTTTTATGATGTTTTTTTCATTCTCCTGTCTGTACAGGAAATAGCAGTAACTTTGATTGTTGGCAATAAAATGAGATTCACTATTCCTCTGTATTTTTAAAATTTCATACCGCGCTCTTGAACCAGACAACCCACCATCTTACAGTAAAGATACGAAAAAGGGGAGCCCACTTATTCCCGATTGTTCAATCTCTCCTTTAAGAAGTCTGTCAGTAAGCTCTGTTTGTCTTGAATAATTACATTCCAAACGATATTCATTTTAATATAATCTCATGGCCAAAATCTTTACCAAAGCAAAACTAAAAAGCAAAGCTATTTTTTTTTTAATTCCCAAATAACCTGTACTATTAAGGTTTTGTTACCTGAAAGATAGTGTTTATATTCTAATGCCATCAAATTTCCCAAAGCGGGGAGGGGGGGATGTTTAGACATGTGCTTAAGATACCGGCTAACATGCCCTTGTCCCACATTAGAGAACCCGGCTTGGATGCCCTGCTCTGGCTTCTGACTCAGCTTCCTGTGAACGCACACACTGGGAGGCAGCAAGGACGGTTCCAGTAGCTGGGTTCCTGCCACCCATGTGAGAGGCCTGGATTGAGTCCCTGGTTCCTGGCTTAGCTCTGGTCCAACCCCGGCCATTGCAGGCGTGTGGGGGGTTAGCCAGCAGATGGATGGAACACTCTCTCTTGGGGTCTCTCTCTCTCTTTCTGTCTCTCTCTGTCTGATTCTCAAATGAATTTCCCATGAATTATAAAAAAAATTCCCCAAGTTGAGACGATCTAAATCCTGTTAATAGAGATAGAGATATTGAAAACATTCTCGTGTTCAGATTTGTTGCTTTCAAATAAGAGCATCTGACCTAGCTTCTATATTTAAAATACAAAACATGCAGGCACTTTTCAAACACAGTGCAATCCTAATCTCACAAACCAACGCTTGCAAATTTGATATATTCTCTAAAACAGACTTGGTGCTAAATGGCCTGCTTATCTACATTAGGCATTTGAGTTAAAAATACAAATTATGCAGTGACTACAGAAGATGTGATGTGCAAAATGGTTGAATTGCTTTCAGCACCATTTTCTCTAAGTACTGGAATCTGTTCATGCTTTGAATTTCATGGTGGGAGAAGGGGGGGGGCAGCAGTCCCAGATCCTTTGAGGATGCTGATGTGAAAGCCCTTTGTGTGCACGCCTGGAGAGGGAGATGGAATTCTTCTCCATTAGCGAAATAGGCTCATACCAGACCTGGCAATGGTCATCAAGATAAAATGCCCCCTTTCACATAGGTGAGTACGTTCAGAGTATTTCGAGAACACTGGAACTATGCCCAGTCAAGTTAGAAGGGAGCCGGGCACTCCTGGAGAACCCACAGAACTTTAAAATAAACAGTTGCACACACAAAAAAAGTAGGACAGCTTTTAGTGAAACATCCACCATTCAATCACAAGTGACCAGGTCAGAATTGATTTTCAGACACTTGCCTCCTTTAAGGAAGTTAGCCTTTTTTTTTTTTTGAGAGAGAGAGAGAGAGAGAGAGAGAGAGAGAGAGAGAAAGGGGAGTGTTAATGGACGGGTCTGTCTCTCTCTGTCCCTTTCTCACAAGCGCACACACACACCCCCCCTCCTGAAAGATCAAAATTCATCCTCAATGATGGGGCTGCATATTCCTCGGTGACCTTAGCCCTAGGGGTGACATTTACAGTGTGTTCAGTGGGGAGGGGTCTTAGAGGCCAGGCACCTCCATTTCTCGCTTTCGCCATGAGTAAACCGAGGCCTTCCTCGGGTCACACGGCGGCTTCGTGGCCGGGCACAGCGTCCGTGGCGATCTCCACTACTCTGTGTTTAAGACACAGAAAACCCTGCCTTGCTTTTCCACGGCGGGCAGAAAGCGGCTAGTGGGCACGGATGGCACAAGGAAGGCGGTGTCACTAGGGAAGCGTGACCCGGGGCTACGGGGCCCCTCGCGGGAACCTGGGTGCCACCGAGAGGCCCCCGCCGCCGCCCTCCGCACTTACGTGATTGTCGCTCCCCTTCCATAAGTAGAAGGCCCCGATGGCCCCGAAGAGCAGCAGCACCGCTCCAGAAATGAGGACCACGGCCCCGACCTTGAGGAGCCGCGCGGGGCTGGAGGGCTTCACCGTCACTGTGGCGTAGGCCTGCGGGCAGGGGTGAGAGAGGGCCCGGTCACGTCTGCGCCCCGCGAACCCCGCGCCCCGCGCCCCTATCCGCGCCCGCCGGGAATCGGGGTGGGTTCCTCCGGCGCCCTCCCGAGGGTCCAGGGCCAGTGCCGTGGGATCCGCGCTGTCTTCCGGCTCTACGGTGCTCCCTACCCCGGTCTGGGCATCCCGTGCACACCCCACGCGCGCATTTAGGCACCCACCATGTGTCCCCTAGCCACCCCGTACCACCCTCCCCACACACACACACACACACAGCGCAAACCGCTGACGGCGGACACCCACGCGGCGGGACTCACCGGGGGACCGCAAAACTCGACGTCGTCGGGCCCCACCAGGGCGATGGGAACTTTGTCGGGGGGCTTGGCCATGGCTCTGGGCGGCCTGAAGAAGCGCCCGGAGGGTGGGGGCGGCGCCGCTGCGCTCTGACCCGCTGCCCCCACGGGCCGGGCATTTCAACGCGGCGCGCGCGCCCTGCACCGTCCCGCCTGGGCCGGGCCAGCCGTCCCCACCCCTCCCAGCGCCGCACCCCGCTCCTCCCTTTCGCTCTCTCGCCCGCGGCAGCCTCCGGAGCGCCTCAGCCGGAATGCTGAGTACTGGGCCCTGAGCCGTGCTGCGTTTTTAGGGCAATTAGCCGCCCATGCAAAGATCTCTTGGCTTGTCAGAGGGTTCTGTTGTGACACGCGGCTGGAGGCCGTTTCACCCCCTCCCTCAGGCCTCTGCGGGCATGTTGAGGGGAGGGGGGACTGAGAGCGCAGGGCTGTGCAGGTGAACAGGGGATGGCCAATAGCTGAAAGCTGCCCCAAGGTAGGCCGCCTTCGCACTGGCCTGCCACTGCTGGGTGGTCCCTGGGACGAGAGCATGGAGCGGGGACTTGTCACAGGTATCTCCAGGCAACGACTTGCAGCAAAGTGAAGGCCAAGCAGAGGGGGGCTGAAGGGATAGAGGTGGGGAGTGCAGAGTGAAAAGTGTGTTGGATGTACAGGGCTGTAGCAGGAGACAGCGCTGAAGGATCATGGGAAACTCGGTGAGGCGCGATGATGATGATGATGATGATGATGATGATGAGAGTGGGGGTGGGACGAGAGGCAGAATGAGCTGGGATTGGGAAGGAGGAGAGAAGCACAGGACACAGCAACCCCTGGGCTGGGGGAGGCCAAGGGCCTAGCAGGATTGGAGGAGGAGGCAGGAAATTGAGCAGGGCAGGTTTTAGACCTGTTGAGCTTGAGGTGGGAATTAAACAAGAAGAGCTGGAGGAAACCTGAGCCTGCCATGGCTTCAGCTGTGGTGCTACTTGTCCACCCGTCCCACTAGGCTGCAGGTGCTGAGGAAGCCTCCAGCCGGGTCCCCAGCCCTGCTCATCGCTGGGGTGCTGCTCAGGCACGTGCACAGAACTCCCTTCCCAAGGGCATTGGTTGCCGGAATGAGGATAATAACAGAAGTGGGAGATGATCCAACATGAAGCAGCACATGCAGTTTAAAAATGCAGGGTTCCAGAAAGACGGGCCAGCAGTGTCAAATGCTGAAAAGCAAAAACCAGTCGTTCAGAGCTTTGCAGTTAGGAGGGCACGGGCACCTCGAGAGATCACAGCTCCCGTTTGCTTTAGTGGGTACAGTGGATGCAATGCCAGGGATATCAGAAGGCCTCAAATGCTAGCAACTCCTATCACAGATAGAGCTCGTTTCTTTGTGTAGAGTTTCCTAGAAAACCAAAAGAACAAAAAAAATGTAATAGAAAAATACAAGCAAAGAGAGGAACGCGCAATTCTTGCAAGGAATACAAATGTCTCTTGAAAAAGAATGCCTGACAGCATTTATAAAAAGAAATGCAAATTAAACATATACTTGTTTACCTCTCATGCTGGCCAAAATAAAAACACGTGTTAAAGCAATCTGTTGGGGAGCGTGAGGGAAAGCGAGGCCCTCCCACATCCTGCTGCGGGTGGGTGAATTGCTATGACTTCTATGCAGAGCAATTTAATTCCAAAATGCAAAATGCAATTATATTTCTGTGGATTTATCCCACAGATGCACTCACAAGGGTGGAAAAAATCCTGCGTGTGCAAGGATGCTCACTGCAGCCCGTTTGTTGGAACAAAGGACTGGAAAAATAATGTTCGGAGTAGAGAATTTATAGTCCAGCCTCACGGTGGCATCCTGGCAGCTGTTTGCAGGAACGAGGCAGCTTTGGATCGACTGATATAAAACATCCTCTATGATATCTTAAGTGAAAAAAAGCAAAGGGTAGAAAATGCATGTAAATGCCTCTATTTGCAAGCCCTCTTCCCAAATGTCTCTATGTGCTCTCTGTAAGGCCACCTTGAGGCTGGTGATGGAGGTTGGGCCTTAGGAGAATATGGGGCTGGGGGAGACGGATGAGATGAAGATGCTTGACTGAGAGCATTCTGGCTTCTACACTGTGAGCAC